TTCAACTCTCAAGAGGAAGCAAAAGTGTTAGTGGGGGAGGAGCTTGATATTCTTTGCGTTAGTTAGGGGTGGGAACAGGTCGAATAGGGTTCAGGTACGGCTGGATGTGGACCCGGACCCGGACCCAAACCCAAAATTCGTACATGGCACACAAATGCAAGCCCAAACCTGACAAAATTCGTACATGGGACCCAGATGCAAGCCCAAACTTGACAAAAATTCATACATGGGATACATATGTGGACCGAAACCTGACCGGGTCCAAAATATCTGGACTTGGACAAGGACTCGGACTTGGAACTGGAATTTATCTAGGGCCCAGCCCAAGCCCGCCTTGTTTGGCCCTTACTTAGGAGACGTGTTGAAGACTCTCTCTCTCTCTCTTTCTATTCCTTTCAAAATTCTTGAAATCTTTATCCCACGCAGTCTATGGTGGTTTGGATCTCTCTTGTAACTCAAGGGTGTGACTCAAAATTGGGAAATTATTAGAAATACATCTAAATTTTTTATTATTAAAAAAAAAACATATACTTTCTTAAACTTCGTCCGTACTTTTTATCTTTTTTTTTGTTGCTCTTTTTGCATTTATCAGAATAGCCATCATGGTCATTGTATGATCGTGAAAGCATCACTGTACTTGAAAACAACCATAAAAAATATCACAATACTTAAAATACCAAGATGTATCTCGATATTTTAATTACCTTGATGGTCACCATTTATGATCAATAACAATAATTTCTCTTATGTATTCCTTTGTGGTCATCACAAGGTCATTGCAGATGACCTAATCAGATTGCCTCTTGGATAACACTGCTTGAGTGGATGTAAACTGCTATTGCTCTTACAGAGGAGAAAATATATATAACCTCCGCCGATATTATCAAGATAACCTAGAAGTGAGATTTTCAAATAGAGGAAAGCAAGCTCTGGATTATTCATACCTAAGGGCTAATTTGAATGGCAAAGAAAAAAATATTCACAGCGAATAAAGTACGAGTTTTTTCCACCTCAATTGAGAAACATTCGCAACTTATTGTATTATGATGGTAATCTATTTTGATGTCTAATTTCGTTGATTTGTCTACCCCATCTTGGCAGTTTTTGGGAACAGGGTACTAGGCTTCTTCAAGCCCGATTCATCACACAAGTAGGAAATGGCAGGTTTGAGAGCAAGATTAGGGATTAGGGCTAAAACGTCTAATTGGGCGGAGGTCATGGCCATGGCGCCCATTTCCTTGAAGGCCTCGATGCATCTCCTCTCAAAGGTCCGTCCAGAAGAAACAATGAATGGGTCAACCATTAGAGCCATGGCGATGGGGTACAGGAACTCCGATCGCCATTCTCGTCGAAACTTCAATGGCTGAAAAGAAACTTCAGAGAGATTGTCCACCTTGCTTTCCTGCTACCCATTTCAAACTCAATCCTCAAAACCCTAAAAACTAACTTCTCCAACCATCAAACCCAAGCCGGATTTATCAGGTACTGCCAAGAAATACAGAGTTAACTAATACCATGGAGTAAAAGAAAACCCAACCAAATTCACTACAGAGATTTGATGAGCTTCAAGAATCTCAAGAACGCAACCCTGGTCACTTCAAATGCAAAGAAGGAAACCCAACTGTAAATTTACAGAGATTTGATGTCCCACCAGGTGTTTTTCTTCTCGTCCACCTAAAAAAGAAAGAAAAAACTGATGCATTCCTAAATGGAAGACGAAAAGAAAAACCAGCTCGTTTGATCAGCGATTCTCGAAAACCCAAATATTCAGGTCAATCTCGTCTCACCTGGTGGTTTTGATCAGCGATTCTTGAAAACCCAAATATTCAGGTCAATCTAAACGACAAAGGAAAAGAAAAACCAGTTCATTTTCTTCACAGAGATTTGAGGATTCTCAAAACCAAGAAAAACCAGCTTGTTTTTTTCTTACAGAGATTGAGGAGCTTTGAGAGGGTTAGAGAGAGAGAGAGGCGCGGAAGGAGATGAGGGAAAAGCAGGAAGGAATGGAATGAGCGTGAGGGTTAGAGAGAGAGAGAGAGAGAGAGAGCCATAAGAGGGTAAAGTTCGACGAGAAACACGACTCCAGCTAAAAAAAGATTTGAGGGTAAAGTGACATCTTATTTAATGAACTAATAAATTTTTTTGAGGTTATCCAAACTGTTCGTACCTTTTATCTCAATATTTTTTTCTTATCATTTGGAATATTGTAAATTTGGGTACTTCCAAATTAATAGTAACTCATTTGATGAGTTGTTCTTGATAGTTCACTCCTGATGGTGCTAGTTGATGAGAATTACTTTAGAAGTCAAAAGAATAAAATAAAGTTTAGTCACTTTCTCAATTTCAATAGAATACAACTTGATCTAGTATGCGCTGACTATTAGAACGTATATGAATAGAACTTATAACATATACTCAAAAAACAAAATATTTGTTACGAAAGCAACTCGGACGGATATCCACTACACCACAACATCCCATCACTGGTGATGAAAAGAACCAAGCCCACTAAGGGGAACACTACTTTATCACTAGGATAGGGAGCATGTAACACCAGCCAATAGAAAAGCGATATTCGCCAACAGACCGATACATCAAACACAAAGAATGTCACTACAAAAGCTATGCAAGGGTTTTGTGATAAAGAGTACCAGAACTTGAATTCAAGAAAGGAACGGGTGGAAGGCCTGAACTCATCCGACTATCTCTAGGATTTGAAATCAACGAACAAATCAATTCTACTATTTGAAATCAGCTGAACAAATGGGGGAATCATTATATCTGTGCTAGTAGAATCGAAGCTTGGATTGATTAGATCTGAGACCGATTAGAAAGCCTTTCAGAGGATAGAAGGAGAGAACAGATGGCAAGAACCGATTAGCACAGCTTGGGGAGTAGTTAAAATACTGTTATAACATACCTATCACAGTAGTTAAAATAACACGATACACCTTATGGTTATTAAGGTATTTTAAGTACTGTAATACTTATTATAGTCATCACCGTATTTTAAGTACCGTGATGCCTTCACGGTCATATGTCTACTGTGAAGGCTATTTTGGTTAAAAAAACTAAAAAAAAAAAGGATACGGGCGATTGTTTAAAGAATGATAAAAGTTTATATAAGGTTGCAACATTAAAATGTAGAGTCACAAATACACCTCAAAAATCTATCGAAAATATTGTTTTAATATTGGAAAAACACTCTAATCGATCATCTCGACATCGAGATGTATGAATATGAAAAAAAAAAAGTTTTTGAGTCCCAGTATAGTGCACAGTGCAATACATTATTTAAACCATCCATTTTCAAGATTTTCATATATTTATAGTGTAAAAACAAAAAGCAATCCATAAAAACAAGAAAGAAGAAACAAACACAAAAGAAAGAGACAACCAACTACAACTCAAAGATATACGTGGTTCGGCAACGTGCCTACGTCTACAGGAGACGATAGCTTCTTTAATGGCAATGGAGAGTAGGATTACAATAGCTCTCTTCCTCACGCCTCTCTATTCTCTCTGATTACAAAGAAATATGCATTTTTTCATTGATCCTAAAAACCCCATTGCAACAATATATATCAAGTCCTAGATAGATGGTACAAATTATTGAAATATTCTTGTACGGATATATATCGAGTCCCAGATATATCGAATCTCATATACGGATATATCCGAAATTTTCCTCGGGGGCTGCCACACTCGAACTCCGTATGGGCAAAGTCTACCTGCGCCAGACACTCCTCTGAGCCTCAAATCCTTCGGGCCTTCAGCCTTCCGGGCTCTAACGGCCCCCTGGAGTTGTCCTTTTGTCTCTACCTTGACGGATCTATTTCTTCATAATACAAGACATCAATCCTCACATATAGATCTATTTCATTTTAACTATTTTGGAATTTAATATTTTTTAATTAGGTATGAAAACAGATTGTTAAGATAATACTGAGAATTTTTTACAACAAAATTAAATGTTATGATAAAATTTTAAGGTGGCCTTTAATTGGATTGTTTAAGGTTGCAACCTAATAGAAACAGCATCCTTAAAAAATATAAAGGGTCTTTTTTCTTCTAATAAATAAAAAATTACCATATATTTAAGCCCCCTAAACTAAGCTTTGAGCCGAAGAATCCTACAATTGCCCGTGTTTCTCAATTTTTTATTGTTTATATACTTTTACGAAATATAACCGGGTTCGACTAAGACCCGGCTCGCTCGAGTGAGATCAAGAAGTTTAAAGGGACAAAACCGGGAGTGTTTGATTGTGAGGAAAAGGGATAAACAACGTAGAAGACATTGATTTCGTTATCGCTTGCCAAATGCACAAAAAGAGAACCTCCCATATGCATTGGCACTCTTTGTAGAGAGAAAGAACTGTGCCATTGTCAAGGACCACCAAATGCCCTTTACATTTCGAAAAGTAATAGTAAAAGTTATTAGAAAATCTTCATTTCGAAATGTCTAAAACACAACGAAATTAATGGTGGATTTTTGTAACATATTGCATAGGTCTCATTCTATCTCATTGGTAACCGTGAATTTCATTTATTTTTTCATTCTTCCAAATAAGTTTATCTTTGAGTCTCTCTCCTTGCAAGTGGATTACAAGAGGGGGAAAAATTAAGAAAATAGAGAAAAAATTTATAAAAAGTTGACATCTTAAATTGTAGAATCGAGATGCACCTCAAAAATCCATCAAGAAAGGCTATTTTGACATTAGAAAAATATCCCATTGATTATCTTGATATCAAAATATATTAACATGAAAAAATAAAATAAAATTTTCAAGTTTTAAAAATAATACATCTTGCAACACATTATCTAGATTGTCTATTTCATGATTTTTATACGCATACAGATATGTTAGATTTGAACTATTTTAGAATTCAAAATTTTGTAATAGAGATGAAAATAGAATCTCAAGCCATTTTAAAAAATCAACACTAAAATTGCTTCTCATTTGACGAAGTTTGAACCTAGGTTGCAACCTTTAGAGAGAGAGGGCATGGTTTTCCTACTACGGCCAAACTTGTCAATGCCCCACATCTACCGGTTCCATTTAACAACGTGCACCTCCTTTCACCACTCCATGAGCGTAAGTGGGTCCACCAAAATAATTATTAGATAAAGAATAGAAAAACACACGAACAATAAGACTGACTGACTTGACTGCAAAGGAAATTAAGCAGTTTGTTGGGGTCCATTTTCGTCCCTCTGCTCTCACATCACATTTCAAGCTTCACGTTGGGTGGACAAGCGGATTGATGCTCGGGTCTCGAGAGTCTCGACTCCCGCTTTTTCTCTCTTATTTTTTTTTTGCAGAGAAATCTCTCTCCCCCCCTATCTCTCTCTATTCTTTCGATTAGAGAAATCTTTCTCTCTCTCCATTCCTTTGGGTAGAGAAATGTGTCTCTGTGCTTTTGGTAAAGCGGCTTTACCGGAAATGGAATTCCAATTGGCCTACCGACACTAGGGCACCTTGATTCGTAGGCGAAGCTCCCACCGCTTTCTAACCTCCCCTCTCTTTCTCTCTCCAGGACTACGTGCTGCTTCAGCCAAGAATTTTACTTTCTCTCTCTCTACCCTTCCTCTAATTCTAGCAGGTGGGCCAGCGTGATCGTTGAGCAAAGAATTGAATCCCTGTCTTTCTCTCTCTAAAAATCCCTTCTCTACATCTGTCGTTTTGCCCTATCACCTGCTTGCTGTTTTCCAAGATATATACCCTCTTTCTTACTCTAAAGTTACCTTCGCCTGCAGAGCGTCGCCATGAAAGTCTAGGGTTTAGCGGACGTGGAGAGAAACAGAGGACCATCAGCCATGGGAAATGCTCTAGTGAGAAGGAGCAGAGTGGATGAGAGGTACACGAGACCTCAAGGCAAGCTTTATGAGCACGCAAATGTCGATTACAAGAAACTAAGGAGGCTCATATTGCACTCGAAGCTCGCCCCTTGCTTTCCTGGCTCTGAGGACGCCTTGCCTGATCTTGAAGAGTGCCCTATCTGCTGCTTTGTATGTCTCTTTCTCTATCTCCATTTGATTCTCTCACTCTTGCTCAAATTGGTTTCTTATGATGTTTCGGTAGAGTTATAAATCTCTCCCTTGCGTTTATTGTGATGCTTCAGATCACCTCCCCCTCCAATTTTTTGTTGCATTGTTTCATTGGGTTTTTTAAATCCGCATAACAATTGCATGACAATTAGTTGGTACTTACTTTCTGGTTCTTTTTAGCACTTCATCTGTTTTTTTTTTTCTTTAGATTTTTTTTGAATTGTTTCATTGGTTTTCTTCGTTCCAATTTGGAGTTGCATTTCATATTTCTCTGTAATCATTTGGAAATTTGGAACAACATACGCCAGGTATTTGTGATTTTGTGAAGATTGGAATGAAATGGTGAAAAAAGGAAAATAAAAATAAAAATATTGTCAGTTTTTGTTTAAGAAAAAATATTTTTTTTTGAGGAACTGTTGACTCTTTAAACTGAAAATGGAAAATTACAGTAAAATATATAAAGAAGGCATCCCACAAGATCGGTTCTAGAGAACAAGAGAAAGGGGTTGGGAGAATAGACAAAATATGGAAAAAATACAGCAGAAATTGAAAATAAAAGGGGAGGCGCAGCTGGGTGAGACTCTGCTGAAGAGTGGCTTTCTTGGTGAACTGACGTCTTAGCAAGGTGGCGCTGCGAGATACTTGGATACACGAGAGAGAAGTGCTGCTTGGATGGACCTGCAGCTGAGCATGAGAGTCCAAGGCCGTGGAGGTCTTCAATGGAGAGCCCGTCCATCTAAGACCTGCAAAGGGTTAGAAAATCCAGACGAAGTATTAGGGAATGAATTTCATTAGAATTTCTTAAAAATAGTTAGATTTCTCAACTATCCCTCACTATATAATTATGAAATTGCAAGAACCACCATAAAACGTTTTGGTGTTTCCCTTGCTAGAACTGTCTCTTATTTGGGTGATTATATTAAATTCTTTGTTGTTTTCCATTTTTTTGATTTTCTTTTATTTCTTTTGGTGATTGCAGTATTATCCAAGTTTGAACAGATCGAGATGTTGTGCAAAGAGTATTTGCACAGGTAAGTTTCGGTATTTCTGATCATTGTGCTTGTTTAATTTCATGTATTTTGTGTATTGGATTATTTATTCTTTGATGGTTTTGGTTTAACTATTAATGAGGTAACCATGGTTTATATGGAGAGATGGTGGTATCAGTTCTCAGAGTTGTGACTGCTGAATTGCTGATGCTATAGGTTCTGGGTATCATCAAGTTGTTTCTTTGGCTTTTTTGTTTTCTCTTTCAAGTTTTTGAAGATCCTCAACATTGTTTCTTTGGTTTTTCATTTTCATGTTTCCAGTTCTCTTTACTTTCCTTCTCTGTTTTCCTAGAACATCAGAATGTGTAATCAATAATCTATATAAAAGATATGGATGGGGGGAAAAAAATCCTTATAGAAGATGTAAACATTCTTAGGGAGTTCATATCCCCAAGGTATCCCTATTTACACCCATGTATGCCATCTCTCTGCGAACAAATTGGCCTCCCTTGGTATACTAACCAAACCTAGAATGTGGAAATTACTATAAGATATTCAGTTTTCGAGGAAAATACTTTGTACCCTGAAAATTCCCTATTTGCACCCATATTTGCATCTTTATCTGCCATTGGTTTGGCTATTTAAGTACATGAACAAAATTTAGAATGTAAAACTTACACAAAAGATTTTTTATTTCTGAGAAAATTTCATCCATTTACCTTGGGTGTCCAGGAACTCTATTGAGCCATTATGATCATGTTGAGAGAATTCCTCGATAATAACTGGGTTACTACATTCCTTGGCTGTATCCATCCCATTTGGGCTGCATTTCCTGTGTATATCATGATTGGTAATTGGTACTATGATATAACATTGATATTTGATTATAATTTAGGTGCCTTTGTAATTTTGTGAGCCTGGTTTTGTGATCTCTTTAAATCCTTTTCTAAGGACTGTGAAGGAGTGTACTTGTTTTTAATTCATAATTGATTTCTACACAAGTTTATTATTAGAATGATCTCTCTCTCTCTCTCTCTCTCTCTCTCTCTCTCTCTCCTGGTTTTGGAGTTTCAAAACTGGTTTCATTTGTCTGTTTTGCATCATTCTTCTATGTCTTCTTCTTCTTATTGTTATTATGTTTCTGCTTTACTTGTATAATTTCATGGTTCATACTTGTTGCTGAGAAGGAATGGTTCTGTTGATTTGCAGAATGCTTCTTGCAGATGAAGCCTTCAAATTCTGTTCGTCCAGCACAGTATCCTTACAACTTTCCTTGTATCACTTTGCTTATCTGGTCTCTGGTCAATTAGGGTTGTCTGGTTTCTGATTCAACAGTTTGTTGGTTGTGTTCTTTATTATTCTTGGTGATTTAGGTGGGTTTCATGTGCCCATTAAGTGGTTGTATAAGTGGATGTCCATTTTTGTTGGGATTTATTCTCTTGAGTTTTATCAATGATAGCTGTTCTTCTACTTGTTTGCACAGTGACCAAGAATAGTTGGTCCTTGTGATTTCTTTTGTTTAGTTAACATCGAATTGAATTCAAAAAGCAATGGGCTAGTTCTCAAATAAGATGTTGGTTCTTTGGGTAAATTTTTTCATGTCCATGGGTTTAGTCTAATTTTCCTCAGGGCACTGGATGAGGTTTATCTTCATATTGTGATTTCTTATCTTTGATAGATGCCCATTTTGTAAAACCTCCAGTTATGCGGTTGAGTTCCGCGGGGCTAGAACACAGGAGGAGAAGGGCCTTGAACAGGCGGTATGGTTTTTTGGGAGCCTTAAATTATGATGACTACTTCCTTTCTTTCTGTAGTAGGAATAGTTTTTGGAATCTCTTCAGATTGAGAGTGGTTGTAGGGGTATCATATCTTGATAAAGTTGAGTGTTGGGTCACATGAAATATTGATTCTCGTTGATTTTGGATGGTAGGAAGAGCAAAAATTCATTGAGGCTAAGATAAGGATGCAATGCCGAGAACGTCAAGCTGCAGAAAATAAGGTGCTGACAGAACAAGAACTGATTAGGTCCCAAACTGGGCGTCCATCTCCAAGTCCATGTGTAGAGGAGCCATCTGGTTGTGCTTTCTAATTGAATCTGTTTATTGGTTCCTTTCATGTTGATTTGTCTTGTGCTGGTTTCACTTTTTTCTTTTTTTTTCCTCTTTTGATAATTTAGTCTTCTTGTTTTTCTTGGGATTCTATTTGTTCCATATACATGTTGAACCTCTTTTTACTTATTTGTTTGTTTTTCTTGGGTTTGCAGGATCATCCGGAAGCTCATCAATAGGATCAGGTGATACCCAAGATGTGCAGGACTTGGATGCTTCTTCGAGAGGGGAAACTGTTGAGGTGTTCAGGCCCCTAAGCATGCATAGACAGGACCGGTAAGCCGAGTACGCTGGATGTTGTCTATCATCATGGGAACGTATTAATATATTTTATTTTTGACCAAATAGTTGCGAGTGGACTAAATTGTGGTCTCATGACAAATGAGTTAAGTAAGAACTATGGCATCCATGAGGTGGGCACTTTGGAATAATTGCATTTTAGATAGCGTACAGCTGAATTTTGTACGGGGAGCTATAAATTAAAAATTATTGCATGGTAAAATGACTGGATGATTGCAGACGACCCTGTTTTGAAGTCCTTCCTGAGATTCCTATAACTGAACTATCTGCATTCTCTCCTCCCCCCAAAAAGCAGACACATTTTCAATAAGGGGGAGTAAAGAAATCGGGCTACTTTAAAGTTGAGAAGAGGTGTTAATTGTTTATGTGTCTTTTTTAAAAGCAAATGGTTCGATGCGACATGATCATTGTTAGGAAAAACGAAGCCTAAAAAAGCAGAGCTGTAAGGCCCTGTGCTTTTGTCCCTTGAAGGATATGGGCTTTGTGCCTTATGTGAGGCACATGGCCCTTTGAAAATGATTTTTGTGTTTCTTATAATGGAAAAAGACAATAATCTGTTTGAACCCATTTTTGGGTAAGATCATTGTTTAAGCCCATTTTTTGGGGTTTTGAATATAAAATAACGATAAATTTTGATTTGCATTCTATTAAGTGTGGCAGTCTTTTATTGACAACTGATCATAAAAAGAAAAAAAAAAAAAAAAAAACTCTTCTATTGATGATTGCCTTCTTTCTATGGTAGTTTTCTGGGTTTATTAAGACACTCATTTATATATATCGGTCCTAGAAATCCCTTTTTTCTTTGCTTGCAATTTTCATCTACAAAAGCCTAATTTTTTCATTGTAGAGATAAAAACCACTGGTGGAAGTGGGCCAGAATTTGTCAAGCAGCCCAAGTGGGAGTATTCGAAGTAAAATGTGACCCTTTTTTGCCACCACTAGAAAGATGATGTAATGCAACCATTTTCAGCAATGTCCGAGAGGTGTCATATACTAAAAGAACAGGGTTTAAGGAGTGTGTTTTACTGGTTGACGTGAAACATCACATCATGCTTGTGAAATGTCTTTGTAAGTCCATCTAACAATGTTACTAAGAAGGTAAGGTATTGGTCTTCTTTGCATAGTACAAGAAATATTTTCCTCCATATAAGCTTTAAAAGATTGAGCAGCTTAAAATATTTTCCTCCATATAAGCTACAAATATAAGCTACAAATTTTAAAACCCTTTTTAAACTAAGAGGTCATTGCAGTTTTTGCTTGAGATTTGTGTTTTTTGCCTTTCTCTTTTTAAACTATAGTAGCTTTTCTGGTATTTTGCCAAACCTTTTAGAAACTTTTCGCCTGAGTTTCTGCTGATCTGTCCCTCTCACAAGTTTCTTAACTCTCTTGTTTCTACGTTACCAAGTAATGCCACACTTGTTAATGAACTTGAGTTGAATATTATGGGATTGATGTTGTGGGGAGCATGTATGCTTTGTAATTCAGGGCAAGGTTTAGTTGTAACTAAGACTGGTTATGGATGTTTTAGGCTTGTAGGAGCAAAACACGTGGATTGATTTTGCTGCTAGGTGATAGGTGTTTCGGTTTCTTGCTGTTTGATTGACCTGGTTTTACACTTTATCTTGACAGATGCTCTTTAAGGGAGCTTGATCTTGGCCAGGTTTGGCAACTTTTTATGAATAAACTTGTAAAGATCTTTGATGTTACATTGGGCCCCTCTAGCTTTGAAAGTTAAGTGGTCAAGGAACGAGTATTTGATTGGGTTTCATGTTCTGATGGCTAACATTGTTGCAGATAATTCAACAATATTTGACCTTGGAGGTCCATGGGTTACCTGCTATTGATGTTTAGAGTTTCCAATGTTTACTTGCTTGTACTTGTTTGTCTTGCATAAATTAAACTGAAAAAATAGAAAAGCTCGTGTCACAACTACTCCTGGAGACATGTGATTCTGATTTTGTGTATTACTAATTACGAAATGGGTGTATTGGGTTTCATTTGACATTTTTTGTTTTTTGAAAAGTCCTTTAAAATAGGGAAAAGTTTATGTAGAGCTGAGGTTCTAAACAATCAAATTAGGGCCTACCTGAAAAATTTCACTAAAAGAGATTGTTTTGATGCCCAAATATCCTCAATTTGATCATCTCGACATCAATATGCATTGACATGAGACAAAACTGGATTTCAAGTTTTGGAAATAGTGTATTTTGTAATGCATTTTAGGACTGTCAATTTTCAAGTTTTCATAGATCTGTTGATCTACAGTATTTTTGAAGCTTTAAACTTTATAAATAAAGTTTAAAATATATTTTAAGGCTATCACAAAGATTTCCGGTGTTGGAACCACATTTCTCGACACTATTTGAAAGTAGTCTCTAATTTGATTGTTTAGAGCCTAGGCTCTATACAAACTGCACCCTTTAAAATATGGCTGTTTTGGGACTTCTATTTTTCTATTGTTTTATTTTCCTCTATTAGTCTTTAGAACTTATAAGTGCATCCAAATACATAATGGAAATCGTGATGCTATGCTATGCTCTTAATTGGGAGCCAATTTGCTTGGCATTTTAGGTAATATCCATCTGCATTTGCCTAGAGGACTTTGATCCAAAACAGATAAACTAGAATATCAGGTTTATGTGTTACATGTACTTGTTTGTCTCTATAGTCGAAGCAAGTTTGTATAAATTGCTCTTGGCTTATGCAGAAATGAAGAATTTGATCTGGATGATCTTGAAGGTATCATGGTGATGGAAGCTATATGGCACTCAATTCAGGTCTGCTTTGACATTCGTTTATACTTGATTATGATTTGTGAAGCTGTGTCTCATAGAATTAGGTAATATTTCAAATGGTTCTTATGGGAAAACATCTTAAGCTTTTACAAGCTCTCTCTCTCTCTCTCTATGTGTGTGAGTGTGAGTTATGCTGGTTTACTATTTGTTTGTCCAGTCTATTGAAGTTGTGCTCGCACTTCTATTGCTCAGTTCCTTGACCACTCCTTTTCTCAATCCTTGTTCTCCAGGATCCTAGCCTTCAAAGAAGTGTAACACGTACGCCTGCTCATCCTGAGAGTCAATCGGGACCATCCCCAGTTACCACCAATGGTGAAACTGCATTAGAAACATCAGTGACTGGAGGTCTTGCTTTTGCCATTGCAACCCTAGCTGAACAAAACATCACCAGACCAGAGCCATCAAGTTCGAACCGCCAAATCAAGAATTCACATCAACTGGGTTCTGTAGTAGGGGCTTCAGACCATGAGTCTGATGAAGCGGACCATGAAACCAGGAGCCTAGATGAGGCTCCTGACCATGATTCCAATGAAGTGGACCATGAAACCGGTTGCCTAGACCGCATTTCAAGCTGCTCAAACTCTACGCAGAGTGGGTCATTGGTTGATCAGACTGAGCCAATAGGAGAGATAGAGGGTGAGACCACTTGTTCAAGTAGTACCCACTCTCTCTCTGATTCACCATGCACTAGCCCTAAACCTATTGAAGGTCTTAGAGAGAGAGACGGGTCTTGCTCTCTAGCATCTCAGATCTCAGGTGCGAGCACTGATAGCTTCGAAGGTCAGATGATGGTGGCCATGGCCCTCTCAATTGCGGAATCAAATAATACCTGTTCTTAATCGTTTTCTAGGGCATAAGTAAACCTCTCTCAAACGTTGTGCTTTTCTCTGTTGAAACAATCATAGACGGTGAAGAAGCAAGAGTACCCTCTTTCTTGCCTTGAATTTTTGGGTGTGAAAGTAGAGGTTGTAGCTCGTAGTGTTGGTGTGAAAAGAGGGGGCAAGGAGAAGGATGTGGATTTAGTGGGAGTATAGGATGGTATATGTAAATAGGGAGAGTGGATACCGAGTTATTCATATGTCCGAGCTTTTATGGAGTCCGGCTTTATAATAAAAAGTTTGTCAATTCTACGCATTGTTTGAAAAATTACCGATCCGACTCGTAATCGCCGTAGTTGGATTGAGATCAGGATGCAAGCTGTTCTAGTTTGAGGAATTTCATATTTTTTTTTTATTTTTTTCATATGTATGCCCCGAGTCAAATGATCTCTAGCAGAATTGGCCCAGGCTCAGTTTTTCGGAAGGCCTCACGGACCCAGATTCCTGTTTTTAAAGCATCGTTTGCATGTGATGAAAACTGCAGAAAATGTATGAAATTCAACATGTTCACACTCTTATTGCAGGAAATGAATACAAGCAAACAAGTAATAACAAAGAGAGAAAATTATCACATTTTTATGACTTAGGGTGAGGTTTCCATCTAACGGCAACAAAAATGAGGGTATGGAGGAGGAGCTCGAGGACAACCATGGTAATTAGGATTATGCCGATTTTTTGCCACCTTTTTTGTAGGCTCTGTAAAAAACCGGCTTTACAAGAGTTGCAGTTGTAGCACAGGATGTTCCTCTGGTTGCTCCACGTGGCACAATCTGAATCCTCCATATTACTAAGTTCTTGCTCTCCTGTGGGCTCCGGTTCCCAATAGGTAGCGTTAACGCCTATCATGCCACATGACAAGGGAGGCTTGCAACACCCTGACTGTTGTAGCCATTGAGAGAGAGAGGGCCCCAAAAGTTAGAGAGTAAAATTGGATCACAGCTCAAAACCAATTTCATAGGAGATTATAATCTATTAGATCAAATAATAATAATCATAATTTAAAAGTATAAAACATTAAACAATAAGGGTGTTTCGTGGGTAAGGTTTCAATCTTAAACCGTTGAAAAGTGTAAGGCGCACCTTCGAATTTTGATGTAATTTTGGTATCAAATATTAGGATGATTTGAGAATCTATTTTCGTATCTAATTATAAAATTTTAAAATTTAGAAATTGTTCAACTTAAGTAGATCTATAAAAATATGAAAATCTTGAAAATAATCAAATAATATGTTGTAAAATGAACTATCAAAACAATATTTCTATGGATTTTTGAGGTGCACTATAATTCTATAATTTAAAGTTGCAACTTTATATAAACTTTTTTTATTAAATTTTTTGTCCAGCTATGTTTGCTTCAAAACCAAGAGAAATTTGTTCAGATATCTATTTTGACTAGTTATCTATCAATGGTTTTCGGTCCGAGTCTTAACAACTACTTACCCAAAAAAAAAAAAAAAATACTTAACAACTATAATCCCCAGTTGGTGTACTAGTAGAAAACACGCTTCACAGTCCATCAGACTGAAAAACAGTACTCACTGGGCCAGTGGCCATCCGATGAAACCATGGACGCCTAGAGATTTGGACCCCCCCAAATCGTCGTAGTGAGGAGAAAGTAAGACCCACCTGACCAGGATAGGACCCAGTTCGGTGCGGTTCCACTTTCTCTTCATGATTTCATTCGATGATCACCACCCAGAGAGAGAGAGAGAGACTATGGCTACCTCAATCGGAGTAAGCTTCATCATGTTGAAATCATACGACGTCATGTGCATGGTTCTTTGTGCGAGATCACCGCACATATCAAGAGTGAAAATGCAGCTCTTCACATTTTGCCAGTTCTCTGTATTCCTTACCCTCATCTGTAGCCAGCGAGGTGAGCCACTCACTCCTCTACTCTCAGCTCCATCAGACCCTACTAATAAGATACCTAGAATGAGAATCACTATGAGCAAAAACATCACAAACAAACATGTAAACAACAGCATCCTAACTGGTGAGACCGCTGCCACATTACTGAAAACAAAGATGATAATCAACATCACTCCTAAGATGATCTTAAGCTTCGGCATTCGAAGAAGGTATTCGCAATCGGCATCGGTCATGCATAGCATCCATATCCCTACTCCCAAAATTGGAAACGAGAAAAGAGTCGCACAAATCTTCAATTTTGCGATCACTACCTTGACGTCATCCATGGCGAGAGAGAGAGAGAGAGAGAAAGAGAGAGATGGGTATGTATATGAACTTGTATCAGTTGAGTGTGGTAGTAAAAATGTGTAGGAGTGTGATGAGGTCAAGGGAGAAGAATCGTTCTTAGATCCGTTATTACAGAGTTTTGACTTGGCTGCTGTCCCTCTCTCCCTATCATTTGGGAACAACTTTTGATAGCAAGGACTTTTCTTAAAATACAAAACATGGCGTTTTTTATATTTTTTCACACAAATTTCACCGCAAGGAAAGATTGGGCAAAGGTAAAATCTCCCTCGCTTCATCTTCCTTTTTTTACGATGCAAACCTCTGCAACTTTGAAGAAGTTCAAAAAATTTACATCCAAAACGCATCTCTCAAATTCTCTGAATCTTAGCTAGTGCCCAGATTGTAACAAGGCATAACCTAAAATCAAACCCTAGCGCAGATTAAGCCTCCCTTAACAACAGTCTCGTCTAAAGGAGAGGAAAGAGAAATGTAACCAAAATAAATCACCAAGATGAGAGAGAAATACAATCCCCACAATTCATAAGGCGTGCTGATGACCCAAAGAAAACCTAAATCTCACCAACTATTGAGGAGAGAGAGGCAATGGATGGTTTCGCAAACCCTGCCTTCCTCAAGTTCCAGAGAGAGAGAGAGGCATGCGAAAGACAGAGAGAGAGGGATAAAGGGCGATTTCTTTGAAAAATTAGATTGAAAACGTGAATTCGGTTTCTATGCAGTCAAGCATATGTAGAAAGGGTGCGGATTGTATAGGGCCTAAGCTCTAAACAATAAAAAATTGGAGCCTACTTTCAAATAATATTGAGAAATGTGGTTTCAATACTCAAAATCTTATAAAATATATATTTATTTTATTTATAAAATTTTAAGTTTTAAAAATAGTATAAATCAACATATAAATGAAAAGTTGAAAATATTGAAAATTGACGGTTCAAATATGCGTTACAAAATGCACTATTTCAAAAACTTGAAATCCATTTTTTTCTCATGTCCATGCATCTTGATGTCGAGATGATCAATTTGAGGATATTTGGCCATCAAAACAGCCTATTCTAGTGAAATTTTTGAGGTAAACTTGAGTTTGACTCAGCTCTATATAAACTTTTCCCTATGTAGAAATAGAGCATATCAATAAATGGATTTTTGAGATGGATTTTTTGACTTAATTTTTAAGGATGTGTAATCTCTAACACAAATATCATGAATATGAAAAAAAAAAAATATTAGAAATAATAATTTTAGTAGGAAAACATTTGAACCGTTGGTTTCCATTGTTTTTAGATGAAACACCTACTAGCATCCATCTTTAAGATGGATTCTTTACACTTTTTTTACCGCATATTTAGGTATGCGGTCCAGCTCGCATGAGACAATTTTTTTATTTTGATTCTATAATTTTGAATGTTAAAAATCAACATATTTTATTGAAATATGTTAATTATAAAATAAGTTGATCTTATCGAAAAGGATACACTTCTGAATTTTGTTTGTCACTATAAGAAAATATCTCACACATTCTGATAAAAAAATCTCACTTCTAAAATTATCTCTTTTAATCTTATTTACAAGTAAAAGTCATTTTCATATTATTTTTATTTTCCAATATTTATTTTAAAATATAAATTTTAGAGAAGCGTAAGTTATTGTGAAGTTAAATCATGATTAGAATAAGAATTCCAAGCATTATCTTAAAAGGCAATCATTAAAAGTTTAATCAATAAATCTAAGTGAGTTCAAAACTACACCTATACTCTAAAAAATATATTATATAATATCACTAATTAATAAAGGAAAATTGTTTCACACGGGCTGGACCGCATTTCTACATATGCGGTCCAAAAAAGTGTAAAGCATCCATCTTAAAGATGGATGCAGGTAGGAGTTCCCTCTAAAGACAATGGAACTAACGGTCCAATTGTTTTTTTACTAGAATCATTATTTCTATTTTTAAAAATTTATTTATTTTTCATATTCATGATCTCCATGTTAGAGATTATATGTCCTTAAAAATTAAGTCTTAAAATCCATCTCAAAAATAGATTTATTAAGAGGCCCGCATTTCTACATACGTGAGCTTGGCCTCATAGAAACTAGGTCCATTAATAAATAGAAATAATTTAAAATATAGCTATTTTTAATCATAGAGGGAGAACATTGGATCACTTACATTTTCTAAAATCTACATGGTGCTTTAGGTGGTCAAATTAGTAGTTATTGTAGTGTTGTCACTTGGAATTGGAAAAATAAATTTTAAAAGTTGCCAAAATTTCTAAAATTATTCTTAATAATAAAATATTAAATATTAATTTAACTATTTATAATTATAATATCACATCAAATCATCATCATGATCATCCGAGCTTTATCCCCTTGCAAATGCACATATAGCATGCTATTTTTGTAAGTCTTTTAAGAGTTCTCAGTGATCTAAAATAAAATGACAATTAAAATTTGAATTTAGTGAAAATAAAGCTTAGCTTTTACTTACATAATTAAAACTTTTCAATTTCACATTTTCACTTGCTTTTTGTAAACTAATAGTTTTATATATAATGGGGTTTTCTATTCTTCACACCTTAAACTTATATTTCACATTTTCACTTGCTTTTTTATAAACTAATAGTTTTATATATAATGGTGTTTTCTTTTTTATAAACTAATAGTTTTATATATAATGGGTTTTTTTATTGTTCACACCCATTCAAATCCTATATGTTATATTTAGAAAGGGAGCCGTTAATAAGTATGTAAATATGGGAAGTATAGTTTTTCCTTTTTATTTGGCAAAAATATTTTGATGTGAGTGACGAGTAGGTGAACCGTGAACCCTCCACTCGACCAAATTGCACTTCTTATCACTCCTAAATGGGTAGTAATGTCCTTAATCGGCACATTTGGGTCTTTGACTTTGAGGGTTGCAAACTTGGCTAGTGAGCAGAACAGATATGCTAGAGCTGCAGCCCTCAGGCATACGATCCCACCTAATCAAAATCCTCGAACAAAGTTAGGTACTTCATTGCTGTTTGGATCACAAAATATAGTTTTACCGACTAAATATATTAAGTAGGCCTTCGTACGCCGTTCAATATCTGCCTTTGTGGCATCCTCCAGTAACTGCATAAAATTCTCCCTCAACTGAGTATACTTCAGTTTCATGAGGTTTTCCTCTTCTAGGCAATCTCCGAGCCACTCAAGTAAATATTCATGGTAATCCCCGTAGTTTCTAGTCAGTACAGGCTTGCCATCAACCTTGAGACGGTGAATCCATCACATATCATACAATGTTAACATCATCTCTCCAATATATATTGTGAAATGAGCGTTACGTCTCTGCTATAGCCACCATCATCAGTGGATGATCAATACTTCTAGGGTGTAACAACCCGGCTTTTTCCTTTTCGCCGAACCAACTAATTCTGAGACACGTTTCTCTTTCGAGTACAATAGGACCTCGTCCTCTGCTCCTCCATCATTATTTCCTTGGTGTGCCATGAACTCAAACACTAAATATCCAATAAAGAAACAAATTACAAAATGCCTTTGGCATCAATTATATCCTAAAAGAATAAGTTATAAGCATTACAAACATTTATGAGAAGAGCAATATCAACAATGCAATTGAAATTAATGGTCAGAATATATGTCATTTCAGAAAACTGGAACATATATGGAGAGTAATAAAACTTCGTCCAATTCTATATAATTAAGTATGGATCCTTGCATGAGATCATCCATTCAAATCAAATACGGATCTCTCTTATAAAATGTAATGGTTGAGATTGAAGTATGTTCTTATATTCATTGAACAAATAGAGCATATCGACAACTAGAAGCGAAACACCGTATCTAATCCAAAAAATGGAATCACCCCGATAACTTCTCCCAGATAACCGGAACATATTTCAATCCAACCACTAAGTTGAACCACAAGAATAGCAATAATTTGAAACAAAAATTATGGAAAAAAATAATTGACTCATCAACTTATCCATGGAAAAAATTTCAAAAAAAAGTGCCAAAAGAAAAAAATGAGCACCAAGAAAGAGATCACACAATAAACACTATTGTAAACAGATGAATAATAGATCAGAGAGGTCACCGCTTATCAGCAGAACGTGAAATAATAGAATGAATTTACACCAAAACATGATTGGATACAAGCTCAAGAACACAGTCACAAAAGAATGGCACCTGAAAATCGTAATTAACACAATAATTTCTCCAAGAAAACCAAATAAAAGAAGAAAGATTTCCCGTCCAACTAGGAAAAAAAACACTAAATTCGTTGATTTCCCATGCTAATTTTTAGTGATTTTCAGTTGTTTATTAAGGTGATGTTATAGATTCTAAAAACCCGAATCGTCTCCTTTTTTGCAACCCTAATTAGAACAATGTAATTTCCCATTTAAAAACCCATGATTATCAGATTGCCAGAATAATGTAAGGGTGCAATTTGCATACAGACGCATCAATAGGTGTAGAGGATAGGTGCACCTTCCTTCAAATTTTATCATGGTATATAATTTTGATGTAAAATGTTCTTAGGATTATCGCAAAATATATTTTTATATCTAATTATAAAATTTTAAATTTAAAAAATGGTTAAAATCAAAAGATCTATAAACATACGAAAATCTTGAAAATGGACGGTGTAGATAATATGTTGTAAAATACACTATTTTTTATATTTAAAATATTTTTTTTTTCATAGGCATACATCTCGATGTCGAGATGATCTATCAAAGGGTTTTTCAACATTAAACTACTTTTTTCTGATGGATTTTTGAGGGGCATCCGTAGTTCTACATTATAAGGTAGCATCCCTATATAAACATTTTCCATAATGTAATATCCCATTTCAAAAACCTAATTGTGGCTAGAAATTCTCCTTGCTCGGGCCGATCGACGAGAGAGAGAGAAAGAGAGAGAGAAGTTTCAGAAAAGGTAAATGGAAGGGAGGAAAGAAAATGTTTTTGAATTTAAATCGGTCGCAGTGCGGTCCTAGGATTTGAACAGTGTAATGCATTTTTTTTGTAGTAGCACTATGCTTGTGTAAAATTTATTTTAAAGAAGTTAAAATAAATGTATAATTTATTTAAGCTTTATATATTTTTTCTACAGAGTTTAAATAGGCATGTTTGTTGGATTACCTTGAAGTTAAATAATGGAAGTTCTTTTATTGTGGTTTTGCTAGATTATATTTTAAGTTTGACTTCAATTAATTTTACATTAGTACAATGTGTCATCTACGTGGTGACACTATATTGTGCTATCCGCTCAACTTGTGTCAAATTTATTTTAAAAAAGATATCATATAAAATTTATTTAAGGGATTGTGCACAATAAGACCATTTACCTTTGGGATAAAGAGAGCACAACTATTCAATATAAAAGCTGATAGCTTGGGTGTGTCATAAAGTTCGAAAAAATTTCTTTTAAACTTTAAACTTCGTTCAATGAAATAAATGTAGCCACTCAATCTCACATCCAAAGATCAAGATTAATTGTGATTACCTTGTACCAATGATAATTGGTTTCATTATATACTTTTCTACACAGTTTTAAGTGCATTACAAAGTTCGAGAATATTTTTTTGAACTTTAAATTTAGTCGATAAAATTAGTAAGCCACCCAATTTCACATGGGTCAAAATTACCTTATGATATATATCATCACACTGAGTACATGATAAAATAAAAGTTTATCCCAAGCTTCGAACCAACTCAACCTTAAAAGCAATATCTCGATCCACATTTGCTCTCATCTTTTGTTTTTTAGGATAATTCAGATGGGATGACGTGTAGGTCGTGGTTTTTTAGTGCTTTATGTGAGAATAAAGGCCCAGACCCCGAACCCAACCGTAACCCCAACCGCAAACCCCATTCTCGTCCTGCTCGTCTTTTATATATGTAGAAGATTTCCACCTTGAGGATGTTAATGTTATATTTTTAAAATTCACGGGGCGTATACGGTCATTCATTGTTGATTTTAAAGTCGCAGGCATCTTTGCCTCTCTCTGAATTTGGGAGCTCGCGGATCCAACAATGGCGGAAGTTGAGGTGGACATTGGATCAATCATCACAGTAAGAAACCCTAATTTATTTCTCGTCCAATATATTTTTCTCCCTCTTTCTCTCTCTATTTCTCTGTTTTTCTTTCGTGGATTTCAGAGCCTTCAATTTAATGTCGAAATTCGTTTTCTCCCTCTTAACCAGTGGGGAAAAAAAAAGTCTCTTTGTCATTCTACATATTAATTTCCTTGTAACTTTTTTATTTTATCTTATCTTATTCAGTGACCAAAACCCTGTTGTCATAGCAATTTTGTTAAACCATACTATACATGGATTTATTGCATTGATTTCTATTGCATGGTGATTATTGGGGCTTGATTGAGACAATAAATGAACAATTAGTTATATGACTGGCATTATCTATCAATAATCCTATGGCTTTGTTGGGAAATGTTTTTGTGGATATTATGTCGTCTGTTAATGTTTTCATGTTAGGTTTATTGTTTGTTCTCTTTATTCGGTGAATTTCGATGGTATGGTACTTGAATTGCACTTTTCATTGCGTGGTTTTTGAATTTATCATCTTTTCATTTTTATTGTAATTTTATGCATATGCCTTATTGATATCTCCTTTGTAATGACCAACTGGAGGACACTGTTTTAAAAATAAAGATGTACTCCATGAATTTTTCGTACAAATGAGTCCGTTGTAGCCTTTCATTTCAAACTGAGTAGTGTAACATTTATCTTTTTTCCAGCTTTTATTTGTAAATACTTTATGCTTAATGAGTGTATGGTTGGACAATCTCAGTATGGTGCTCTAGTAGTTCAGATGGAAGGTTTGTACAGTAATATAAATCGTCTTTTTATTTGTATGATTTTTTTTGAGTAATTAAAAATTTAATCAGGTACTGAGGAATTGGATTGGGGTTTTGAACCCAACGTGTAACGAACAAGCAACCTTCTGAAAACTTTTTTTTTAGTCAGTTCAGTAGGGAAGGGTTTATTTCTAGTTGTATGACATGGTTTTACAAATTCAGAGCTACAGACGATATCTCTTATGATGCAAAAACATTCTCTGTTACTTGTCGTTCATTCTTGCACATCCTTTGATTGTCAATGAGAGGAAGATAATACCAGTCTGTTGATGATTATTTGGATTCCTTCCTAAAGAATTGAAAGGTTCGATCTATTCGATGGCTTACATTCAAATCTGAAAATTAATTAGTTGTACTGATAGAGGAGGTGGAATTTGGTTGGAAACACTTGATCAGTTCTATGGAGATTATCTTATAACTTATAGTTTTATACAATGTCACATTTGAATTAATCTCGTCTAGGACCCCTCAAATTGAACTTTCTCTTGTATAAAGATGCGATTTTCTTTAAAGAATAATAAAAAATATAGAGATTGAAAGAAGCTTTGAGAAAGATGGAGATAGGAGAGGCTTTAGAACTAGATGGTATGCGAATTGAGATTTAGGAGGTGCATGGAGAGATTGGTGTATTCTGATTGACCAAGTTGTTCAACATATTTTGAGAACAAAGAAAATATCAGACAAATAGAGAAAAAGTATTGTAGTACCTATTTGCAAGAGGAAAGGAGACATACAAAATTGTATGAACTATCAAGGAATACATCTTATGAGCCATACTATGAAGCTGTGGGAGAGACTGAGAGAGTGATTGAGCAAACTACGAACAAGTTTATCAAAAAATTAGTTTAGTTTTATGCCAGAGAGGTCAAAATTGAGGCTGATTTCCTACATGGGCATTTGATTGAAAATTTTAGGAAGGAGAGGAAAGAACTCCATATGGTCATTATTGGTTTAGAGAAAGTATATGATAACTTAGAGTTAATTTGGTGGGTGTTGAAAAAGAAAAGTGTCTTAAGAGGATATATTGACATGATGAGAGATATGTGCGAGAGAGAGCTAACTAGTGTGAGGACAACTAGTGGAGAGATAAGTGAGTTTTAAGTGATAATAGATCTACATCAGGGATCGGTATTGAGCCCAAATCTCTTCGTTTTGGTTATGGACAAGTTAACTTGGCATCTACAAAATGAGGTACTATGGTGTATATTGTTTGACGATGACATAACTTTGATTGATGAAACCATATACGTCATTAACACAAGTCAAAACTTTGGAAGGATGCTCTAAAATCTAAAGGTTTTAAAATTAGTTGGACTAAGACAAAATATGTGGAGTGCAAGTTTAGTAATAGTAGGAGAAAATGAGGAATTAGTTACGATTGATGGCCAAGAAGTACCTAAAAGTGATTATTTTCGATAGCTTGGGTTAATAATCCATGAGAATGGAGAGATTGAGGAAGATGTCGCACATAGATTTGGAGCTGGGAGGACGAAGTGGAGATGTGCTTCTAGAGTCTTGTGTGATTGTTGCATACTAATAAAACTGGAGGGGAAGTTCTATAGGATGTCTACAAAACCAGCCATACTTTATGAGATGAAATGTTGGGCGATCAAGAAAAAATATTATCCATAGAATGATTGTAGCTGAGATGATGATGTTGAGATGGATGAGTAGCAAGATAAGAAAGGATAAAATCCGGAATGAATGCATCCAAGGGCACTTAGGGTTAGCTCCAATAAGCAATAAGATGAGGGAAAAGTAGACTTAAGTGGTTTGGCCATATGCAACATAGATCTAGAACAACACCAGTCAAGAAGGCCAATTTGGTTCAAGTGGAAGGCTCTAAAAGGGCAAGTGAAAGGCTCAAAAGGACATGGATGAAAGTAGTAAAGAGATATGGTGACTTATGGGCCATACTATGAAGTTGTGGGAAAGAGGGATTGAGTAACGACTGCGGCATGGAACAAATGTATCAGAAAATCAATTTGGTTTTGTGCCAGGGAGGTCAACAATCGAGACTATTTTCCTACTTAGGCATTTGATTGAGAACTTCAAGAAGAATTGAAAAGATGTCCACATGATTTTTGTTGATTTAGAGAAAGAATATGATAGGGTATCCAGAGAGTTAATTTGATGCGTGTTGGAAACGAAAGGAGTCTCTAGAGGATATATTGACATGGAGGGAGATATGTATGAGGGAGTGCTAACTAGTGTGATGACAGCAAGTGGGGAGAGAGAAGTGAGTTTTCAATGGCAGTAGGTTTGCATCTGGGATTAGCATTGAGCCCGTATCTATTTGTTTTGGTTATGGATGAGTTAACTAGACATCTACAGGATGAGTTACCTTGGTGTTATGTTGTTTGAGGATGACATAACTTTAATGGATATAACCAGAGACTGCGTCAACACAAAGTTAGAACTTTCGAGGATGCTCTAGAATCTAAAGATTTTAAAATTAACCAGACTAAGACAAAATATATAGGAGAAAATGATGAATTAATTAAGATTGATGACCGAGAAGTACCTAAAAGAGATTATTTTTGATATCTTGTGTCGATAATCTATGAGAATAGAAAGATTGAGGGAGATGTCGTGCGTAGAATTAGAGCCGGGTGGACAAAGTAGAGATGTGGTCTTATATGATTGTTGCATACCAATGAAGCTAAAGTTCAGGACGGCTGTAAGACCAGCCATACTTTATGGTATGGAATATTTTGTGATCAAGAAATAACATATCCATAAAATGAGTGTAGCTGAGGCGAGAATGTTGAGATAGATCAGTAGCAAGACAATAAAAGATAGAATTTGGAATGAATACATCATAGGGCACTTAAGGGTAGCTTTAATAGGCGATAAGATGAGGTAAAGTACACTTAAGTTGTCTGGCCATGAACAACGTCGACCTAGAACAACACTGATTAGGAGGGGCTATGTGGTTTAAGTGGAAGGCTTTAAAAGAACAAGAAGAAGGCTCAATGGACATGGATGGAAGTAGCGAAAAGAGATATAGTGAATCATGGTTTGACTGAGGGTATGACCCTTGATAGAGCGGAATGACTAAATATGATTCGTGTAACTAGCCCCAAATAATTAGGATAAGGCTCGGATGCTGATGATGGACTTGTCAGGTTTTCTTTACAGGCATAAAACTTGTGGCATTTGTCAATAACGTTTAGGTATATACTAGGGATTTGAGATATCACATAGATTACATTGACCATGCCTTCCAAAAATTGCGGATCACCATATTCAGTGCGATATTCACCCCACTATTGAGATCAGATACCTAGTGTAAAATTTTCCAATAGAACAGAAGTACAGAAGTCTTGTTTGAAATTCTTGCAGAGTCTAGCCATCCTATCAACCTCCTAGTTCCCACCCAAACCTATGACTTTACACTGCTTTGAAGCAAATCTATACCTTGAACTGTCAACCTCCTAGTTCCCACCCAAATCTATGACTTTACACTGCTTTGAAGCAATCTATACCTTGAACCATGTATATATAGTTGTTCTCTCACTATCTTCAAGAAGTTCAAACTTGTTACCTTTACTTGTCTTACTTTCCTCCTGAAACCCATATCACATCCCACCATTCCCCATCTTCATACCAGTTTGAAATCCAACCCATCTTATTTTTGCCTGCAAAAGCCAAGTATCCTTCACAACCTCCCTCTCCACTCTCCACCCAGCATTATTAATATGGAAATAAAGAAATAAAAGTTCATCTCACCTATTCCAGTGTCCTATATTGGTGTTCAAAAGGAAAGCTGAAAATTGAAAATAAAACCACACACGCACACATTGCAAAAGCCTAAGCAAGTGCGCCTCCTTCAATATCACTAGGACTCCATTTTACAAATATCAGCAAGCAGCCAAGTGAGAGTGTTGGGCATGTTTTATGATTGACTACAACTCTCTAAGTCTCTGGCTGAATTAGGGAGAACCCTTGGTCCCTGAGGGTATTAAGCTTGATCCGGTACCCTTGGCTCACCACATCTTGAATGGAACTTGAGGAAGGCTAGGTGTGTCCCAGTTGTGAGGCAAAAGTTTTATAAAGAGAATGTTTGAAAGGTTTCTATCATGTGGTCCAGGAGCTTATGGCTGCTAGGAGTTTAATGCCTTTAGGTTGCTGGATTATTAACGGGCAAAGACGTGGGATTGAATTTGGGGCATTTTAGAAGATTTGAACTGGCATCTTGATGTTGTGGCCATATTCGAAACAGGTATTTACCATTGTTCAAGATTTTAAGGGAATTTTAGTCATGCACGGGCTTTGGATATCCTGGGTTTCTAGTTTACCCTTAGAGTTTAAGTCCCTATTTACAGCAGTAAAGAGTGAGGGTATTTTGGTCTAAACAGTGGACTTCAGAATCTCAAAATTCTGTTATCTACAAGTGCGAACTTATGAAAATCAGCAAATGTTTTGTTACTTACACAACAAATAATTGCTTGTTCCTAATTTTTGTGCCTTTTTATGGGTTTGACTCCTCAAATTATTGCGTGGTTTTTTTTATTAGTGTTTACATGTTTTAGTTTGACTCATTTCCCTTAGTCATGGATAAATTCATATCTGCTTTACATAATCAATATGTCATGATGCTGTTCTGTTGGATAATTGGATTTGACTTTTAGGTTGGAGATATCAAAACAGCACCTGCAGATTTTCGTTTCCCCACTACGAATCAAACCCGGCACTGTTTTACGCGTTATGTTGAGTATCACAAGTAAGATACATGGCTGTTGTGTAGTCTCTACGTACTGAATATAGTGATTTACTTAAATGATTTGAAGCAACATGACACGTGCCCTGTATCAAATGCAGATGTATGACAGCAAAAGGTGCGGATTCTGGTGAATGTAACAAATTTGCTAAATACTATCGGTCCCTCTGCCCTGGTGAATGGGTGAGTTGAGTTCCCTAGCCATCAAATTCTATTCACTCTTTTTTTGTTGCTTCCTTCTTTTAGTGGTTGACCAATTTTGCGTGACTGGTAGTCCCTTATCTTAGCAGTTGGTGTTGTCTATCTTTTGACATCAGGATTTAAATGATGCTTCCCTTGTTTGTTGCTATCACCCATTTATAATGGTACCAATGATACCAATGAGAAGTCGTGGTGTCAAGCTCATTTGTGGACTGAGGCATTTAATGCGTTTGTGTTGGTCTTTCAAGATTTCTTTAATTTGGCTGCCTTTGGGATTTCCGTTATCAATATTTTTTTCATATTGATGTAGAAAATAAAATAAAGTTTTTATTTCTTTTGGACAGTATTTTCTTTTTTTGTTTTGCAAAGGTATTTTGGGGATTTTTCTTTGTAATGGACTTTTCTTGAATTTACAGAAAGGTGAGGCGTTCTTTTAAATTTTGGGCATGGGAAAAATTAGGACGGAAATGTTTGAATTTCAATTTGAATTCTTGCTTGGGAAGTAGTATTGTGCAGGGCTTGGGAAAGTGTATTTTGCATGACTTTGGAAGGGTAGAGTCCATTTAATATCCTTAGGAAAGTTAAGAGGGCTTTTACTTAAAAGCCAAGCCAAATGTATTAAAAGGGGAGATGTTACACTGCTGGAAATTAATGTTTTTCTGTAAATCTCAGATAATCAGGAACTCAATTCCCATTTGGGATGTCTTTGGATGCTCATACAAGCCATTGAAACTAGGCTTTGTTAGCTTCAACCCTTGTCTTTGAATCATTGTGAAGTTCCCTTGTTTTCTAACTGCTTTGAGCTATTTCTCTCTCTTTTATCTGTTCTACATCAAGTAGTATCAGAGTAGGAATCCTCTCTTTTTGACCGTGAATTGTGGCCAATAAAGGAGGACGTGGAGGCCAAGGAGGAGGAAGAGGTGTTGTGCCAAGGGCAGAATATGAGGACTTATTGAGGAGATTGAATGAAATGGAACTGGGGTTGGCTTACCCACTTCGATCAAGAGTCAGTCACTCACGAAAGTGAGGAATCGAGCGAACGAAGTATAAATCCTTTCCACAACCTAAGGGAGAACCCTTCATTGGAGGATAGTTTGGTTCGTGCTCTAGCCGGGTTTGATCAAGTAGTGAGAGTGGATGTCCCTGAATTTGAGGAAAATTTCAGCCCGATGAATTTTTGGACTGGTTAGATAGTGTGGAGGCCTTCTTCGAGTGGAAAGATTTCCCAGAAGGAAGGTCAAAATTTGTGGCTACCTGACTGAAAGGGCAGGCCCAGATATGGTGGCAGCAGGTGGCAAGTCAGTCAAGTGCAAAAGGAGAAAGACAAGATAGTGACTTGGAGGAAAATGAAGTTGCATCTTAAGAAGAAATTTGTACCCTCTAGTTATGCACAAGAATTAGACCAATGATTCCATCATTTACGGCAAAAGGAGGGTGTCCAAGAATATAAGGATGAATTCTTCCTCCTTATGAGCCGGAATGATGCCAATAAAAGCGATTACCAGCTCGTTGCACAGTGAGTGGACTGAAACCTCAAATGCAAACAAACTAACTCTAAACCAGATTTTCAGTCTTGATGAGGCTTATCAAATGGCATTAAAAGCTGAAAACAAAGTTGAAAACTTGTCGAACGAGTGGCTGGAAATCAATCAAAGTTCAAAGAGTACAAGTGGCAAATCAAAAACCATGAGAAGTTGGGTCTAGTTCACACCCAAATGAGGCATCTAAGGCCAAAGCTCCGACTGCCAATAGACCTCTCCAAACTAGAGAACAGGGTGTAAAATGTTATAAATATGGCGAGGTTGACCACCAGTTGTATGAGTGCTGAAAATGGCAAGCTGAAAGACATTTCCTAGATGGGGATCATGCAAATGGAGACCTTGTCATTGGGCCAGTATTCGATGAGGAGCTAGTAGGGGAAAATGAGCAAGATGTTAATTAAATTGAGGCTGATGAGGGGACTTTCTTGTCATTAGACAACTACTCACTACCCCCAAGGTTTTAAAAGAGCCGTGGCTCCGAACCAACATCTTCTGGATTCGTTGTACAGTCCTTGGGAAGGTGTGCTCCATTATCATTAATAGTGGCGGCTGCAGTAATATGGCATCTCAAGAAGTTGTTGACAAGTTGAAGTTTACATGCAAGAAACACCCACAGCCCAACAAAATAGCATGGTCTTGGATGGGTAACGAGACTCCGATAACTTCTGGTTGCTTAATTAATTTTTCCATTGGAAAAACTTTTAATGATTCAGTTTGGTGTGATGTCCTTCCCATGGATGCATGCCATATCCTTTTGGGTCGTCTTTGGCAGTATGACTGAGCTGCGATACACCATTGGCGACACAATACAAACTCTTTTTGGAAGGATGGGTTGAATTTTTTTTTGAAATAGTTAGAGGAGAACAAGCCTGAACCCAAGAGTGGGAAAGGAGATTTGGTCCTTACTTTGAACCGGTTTGTTGAAGAAAGCAAAGAACAAGGGGTAGGGTATGCTTTGGTAGCCAAAGAAGGGTCCTTAGTGAAATCCCCACAATGGTTAAGCCCCTAGTCAAAAAGTTTAAGGATGTGATACCCGATGAATTATTTACTGAGTTGCCACCTATAAGAACGATTCAACATTGCATTGACTTGGTTCCGGGTGCCACTCTCCCTAACTTGTCACATTATCGAATGAGTCCCAAAGAACATGAGGAGTTACATAGACAAGTAATGGAATTGTTGGAGAAAGTGATAAGAGAGAGTATGTGCCTATGTCTTGTCCCTGACTTGTTAACCCCAAAGAAAGATGGCTCATGGAGAATGTGTGTGGATAGTAGGGCAATTAATAAAATCACGGTCAAATACCATTTTCCAATCCCTCAACTTGATGACATGCTTGATATGTTGTTGGGATCAAGGGTCTCTTCCAAAATTGACTTGAAAAGTGGTTAAACCAGATTTGTATGAGGCTCGGAGACAAGTGGAAGACTGCATTTAAGACACGAGAGGGCTTATATGAGTGGTTGGTCATGCCCTTTGGGCTCTCTAATGTTCTTAGCACTTTCATGAGAGTAATGAACCAAGGGCTTCACCCATTCATTGGCAAGTTTGTAGTGGTGTATTTTGATGATATCCTCATTTACAGTGAAAGCACTGCCCATCATTTGTTGCATTTACAGCAGGTGTTAGAGATCCTTTGGAAATAAAACTTCTTTGTAAACCCCAAAAAATGATCCTTTTTTACTAATTACTTACTATTTTTTGGTTTTGTGGTGTCATACGAAGAGGTTTAAGATGGATTGTACCAAAGTACAAGCCATTGGGGACTGGCTGACTCCCCAAACAGTGACTCGGGTGAGAAGTTTTCACGGTGTAGCAACATTTTATAGGAGGTTATTCAGCTATTTCAGCAGCATGATAGCTCCCATAATTGATTGTATTAAGAAAGTGGTGTTTGAGTGGACTTTGGCTGCTGAAAACGGCTTCAAATTGGTGAAAGAAAGGATGACGAGTGCTCATGTCCTTCACTTCCAGACTTTGAAAAGGTCTTGCAAGTGGAGTGTGATGCTTTGACGGTGTGAATTCAGGTGTCCTAAGTCAAGTGGGCAGACCCGTAGCCTTCTTTAGTGAGAATGTGGAGTTTGATGCGGTGGTTCAAGCCTTGAGATATTGGAGGCACTACCTCATCCAAAGAGAATTTATCTTATTCTCAGACAATGAAGCCTTACAGTATTTGAGTGCTCAAAAGAAACTGAATCGTGAACCATAGGCATGCTAAGTGAGTCTCTTACTTACGAGAGTTCACTTTTGTAATCTGCCGCAAATCAAGCAGCCAAAGCAAACTGGCTGATGCCCTCAGGAGGTGTCCCCTATGGTACTTTTGCAACAAGTTTTGATTCCCTACCACAGGTTATACTATTGACCCATACTTATCTAAGATCCTTGAGCAACTTGCACAAGGACAAAGGGAAACATATGTTGTTTTTGTTTTGCAGGATCTCTTTCTCTTCAAAGGGAGTCGGCTTTGCATCCTTGAGGGGTCACTTCGCATCTAAATCATGAGTGAGATGCACGGTGACAACTTTGGTGATCACGTTGGGCGGGATAAGACCACAGCCCTTGTGGAAGAGAAGTACTTTTGGCCCAAAGTAAAGGGATATGTCAGCTGGTTCGTCGAGCGTTGCTGAGTGTGCCACTTGGCATAGGGTCGGTCTCAAAACACCGGTCTTTACACCCTTACTCATCTCTGACCAACCATGGACAGATGTAAGTATGGACTTTGTGGTGGGGCTTCCACGCACCTCGAGAGGGTTTGACTCTATCTTTGTGGTGGTAGATAGGTTCTCTAAAATGGCCTACTTCATCCCTTATCGAAACACTTTATGAGACTCAAGCGGCTGATCTTTTCTTTAAGGAGGTGGTCTAGATGGTGTGATTCTATCTTTGTGGTGGTCGATAGGTTCTCTAAAATGGCCTACTTCATTCCTTACCGAAACCCTTTAGATGCGAGTCAAGTTAAGCAGCTGATATTTTCTTTAAGGAGGTGGTCCGTCTTCATGGTGTGCCCAATACCATCACCCCCAATCAAGACATGAGATTTGAGATTTGTGGGCCACTTTTGGAAAACCTTGTGGAAAAAGGTAGGCACTAAACTGTAATATAGCAGGTCCTATGACTCTCAAACTCATGGCCAAACGATGGTTGTCAACTGGAGCCTTGGAGATTTGTTGAGAAGCCTTGTCAGTGACAAGCTTTCTCAATGGGTTTGAGTTTTACCTCAAGCGGAATTTACCTACAACAGTTCCCTTAATCGGTCCACAAGGAAAGCTCCAATTTGGGTGGTATATGGTCATCACCAAGCAAGTTGCTTGACCTAGTCCCTTTGCCTGAAGGGGTGCGAGCTAGTGATAATGCAGGAGCTTTGGCTGAGCACATTCAAGTTCTCCATCAAGAAGTTTAGGGAAGACTACAAAAATGCTATGACAAGTACAAAGCTGATGCTGACTTGCACCGATGTGAAAAACCTTTGAAGTAGGAGACTTGGTAATGGTGTGCCTTAGGCGTGAGTACATTCCAAGAGGCACTTACCATAAGCCTAAATGTAAGAAGACTGGTTGTCAAGTACTTCAAAAGATGGGGTAGAATCCGTACAAGGTCAAGCTTCCTGAAGGATATGAAATTTCTCCTATTTTCAACATTTCTGACCTATATAAGCATCATGTTGAGGTTGATATGGAAGGTGATGCTAGGTGGGAAGCACATCTGCCTAAGCAAAAGGGAGACAAGGTGGAAAGCATCTTGGACAGTTGCATCATTTCTACCCGCCAAGGGAATTATAGTTAGTATTTAGTACAGTGGGAGGGCTAGCCCAATTCAGAGAGTTCGTGGATTTCTAAAGAATGATTCAAAAGCCCTCGAGGAGTTTTTTGTCGGTTTGAAACCGAGGATGAGTTCTCTTTAACCCAGGTAGATTGATGTAGAAAATAAAAGAAAGGTCTTGATTTATTTTGGACTGCATTTTCTTTTTTTGGATTTGCAGGGGTATTTTGGGGATTTTTCTCTGTAATGGACTTCCCTGTAATCGAGGTGGTTCTTTTAAATTTTGGGTGTGGGAAAGATTAGGAGGGAAATGTTTGAATTTGAATTTGAATTTGAAATCTTGCCTGGGAAGTGGTATTTTGCATGACTTGGGAAAGTGTATTTTGCATGACATGGGAGAGGGTAGAGTCCATTTAATGTTCTAGGAAAGTTAAGAGAGCTTTGACTTAAAGCCAAATCTATTAAAAGGGGAGACCTTACCCTGCTGGAAATCAGTGTTTTTCTGTAGATCTCAGAGAATCAGGAACTTAGTTCCCATTTAGGGTGTCCTTGGATCCTCATACAAGCATTAAAGCCAGGCTTTGTTAGCTTTAACCTGTTGTCTTTGAATCTCAGTTACGTTCCCTTATTTTCTACCTGATTATGAGCTATTTCTCTCTCTTTTCTCTCTGTTCTACATCACATATACTATGTAGCAATATGCCATGTTATAATTTTCATTCCCCATTGCAATTTGACTCTGCCTCAATCTGAAGTTTGATCAAAAGTATTAAGGGAGGCCTGGACACTCATGAGTCATTGTGGTTTTTAATAATGGAACAAGCCATATACAGCTTTATCTGCCTCTGTTACTGGGTCTTTATTTGGAATTTTATCTTAACTCTCTTGTCAATGAGAAGAATTATGCTCTTTGTGTCAGGTTGATGAATAAATTGAGTTTAGTAGGGGATCTGATTTACTTTGGCAGCCTGCACTGGTTGAGAAGTTGGCTCCTCTTTATGTTTTATATAATCAACATTGCAGCATTTGCCTATGCAGGATGCTATGCTGGTGGTTGAACTAGGGTTTTTCTTCCAAGAAAGAAAAAGATGGATAGCAAAAAAAAGTACAAATAAAAAAGAGAGAATAGGGTTTTTCCTGAGAAGGGTATCGTTTCCAAACTACTGGTGAATGGGAAGTGTATTGCTTTGGAAAAGTCTTTGAAGAGCAGTCTAAAAGCAGCTGAAAACCTGACCCACCACTGGCGAGAACAGAAATGAATTGGATATTTTAGTGATCCATAGAGCTAGATCAATTTGATCTTGTCTTGATTGGTCCAAGTCTTTGGGCATTGGTCTTGTGTCTAGGTTAGGGTTTTCCTTATTGGATTTTTATTTATTTTTTATTTTTAGTTTTGTGCATATAAATAATGACATTAAATTTGTATACATCACCAAATTGCCTTGCTCACTGAACTAGGTTGTTTTAGTTAAATGGGCTGTGAACTAGATAAGAAATTGGCTCTTGTGTTTTTCATCTTATCCAGTCAATATGAATTGTAAATGGTTCAAAATGGTCTGAATATTGAGTGAAATCTGCTGAATATTTGTCTAAATTGAATTTCACTAAGAAAATGCCAGCAAGGCCTAAACAATTATATTGTTCAGTGCTGTTGTTTACCAATGTTAGAGCTTTGTCATTTGCTAGATTTGACTTGTGAAATAATTAATGAAGATTTTGAAAAGGAAAAGGATTATAGCATGAGCAGGTAGAGCTCTTCACCATATTAATTTTTGAGAAGGAAAACGTAAAATATCTACAATTTTTTTAAAAAATTTCTTTGGAAATTGGATTAGGTCAGACTATGATGAGATTACAAATTCAACATCAGGTGTGCAAAGTCTGCGCGATCCATGTGTTTTGAGGAGTCTTTGTTATGTGTGTTTCATATAGGAACCTTGGCAATTGCATAGCTAAAGGGTAGTCAAGGCCATCTAGAATGACCTTAGATTTCAATTATCAAAAGAGCTAGGTCAGGTTGCCCTTTCTTGGATGAGACAGTCTGATTTTAGGATTACTATTGAAAAGCTGCGAAAAATGAGAAAAAGATACTCCTGAATCTCATGCGAGTTGGTGCTGGAAAATATTACGAAATGAGATGGTATTTGGTTGAAGGATTACATATAATGAGATCATTGCTTTGTTGAACAAAGGTCACAAACACTTGAAGCTATCAAATGTAATAATTGGACGACTGGGGTGTGTTTACAAAGTCTGAGGAGAGTTTTCTTGGACGGTCATTAGTGTATACCCGTAGCTGCGTGATTTCACATCTGATGGCTCGGAGTGCTTGTGACCATTTTGTATAGAATGTAAACACCCCCATTGTATACTTTGCCTTTAGTTAATGCATCAACTTCAATTTTAGAAGTCAATTTTAGGCACATTGACTAAGGTCTTATGCATCATTTTCATGTGATGGAACTTTCTAAGTTTTATTGGGGTGTCAGCAATATGTTTTCTTTTCAAGTTTTTTATCATGTCAATTTCATCATATTAAGCCATTACTTTTATTTATAATGGTACTCCTAATTAATAACTGGAAAACTATACAATCAGACTGTTTACTTTTAAAATTAAGAAGGTCACAACTGCCCTTAGCCATTTGATGTGAATTTGAAATAGCTGGGGATGCACTGTTGACAACGCTCAAGGTCCACCAAAATTTTCCTGAAATTTGTGACAACCTTAGCCATGTGATTTGAAATCTGATGGTTAGGAATGTTATGACCCTCTTGTACAATAGGAAAATGGTACGATAGTTAACAATCCCTTAATAATTTATGTGAGTTATATGAGGCTCCAAGTTAAGGATTACTAATCCAATACTTGTGTTCTGCAGGTTGAGAGATGGAACGAGCAGAGAGAGAATGGATCTTTTCCTGGTCCCCTGTAAGCAGAGAGAAACTTGTTTGGTTCTTCAGGACACTTCTCATTTCTTGAATTTTGAAATTTGCGACTCTAAACTGGCAGATGCATTGGAAACCTCTGAATAACCATGGAAACTTATGAATAAGCCATGGATTCAGCTTTGTAGTTGATTTCAGTGATTAAGTTTGCTTGTGACGAAAGATAGCCGTTGTCTCCATGTGATTGTTACGTTTTGTTATAACAGAAACTCGTGGAAATGCACATGCGAGAGAAAAGGCAAAACAAGGGAGGTAGAATGCCATTTTTTGAAGATAATGGTCGTTATCATATCTGGTATTTTATGTGGGTGGGGTTTGTATAAGCCATTGCCTCAAAATTATGTTGAAAGATGCAACTTCGGTGTTAGAAAGTCTTGCAATGGCATGATAATCTATTGCTATACCTGATTTTGACATTAAAGCTTTCAAAATAGTGCAGCTCCTGCAAATCTATTATCAATTTAAAATTTTGAAAATAGAAAGTCTATAGTGTGTTACAAGATGCATTTTTTTTTATAAATGGATATTTTTTTGTTTCATATTCCTGTATCTTGAGATCTAGATGATCAATTTGAGAGTTCTCTAACATCAAAAGAACCATTTCTGAGGAGTTTTAACGTGCACCTTGGTTTAATAGAATAAGGTTGAGGCTTTATATGAACTTTTTAAATTTTATATTTGATGATTACTACTCATTTCTTATGCACTCTCAATTTTAAAATGCAAATCCATTATGAAGCCTTGGGGCCATTATCTTATATAACACATTATTTTAAGTAAGAGAAAGCTTTTTATATACCACTACGCATAGATAATTTATATGCCACTTTCTCGGAGTTGTCCAAGTTTGAATGGATAGTTGGGACAACATTAGATATAATATTTGGATAGCTGGAACAACTTTAGTTATAATGTCACAAGTGAGCTTCTCACCGTTTGATATAGAATTGACGTCTTAAATATTTTATTTTTAATTTTTCTATCAATCATGATTTTAAAAATCGTCGATCCCAATAATAAATTGTCAAGGCCCTTCCAGATTCTATAGGATCAGGCCATATTCACAATCACTACTATACAAAGTTCTTTAAGTTATGGATTTTCACATTTGGATTGTTTGAAATATAAAGTTTCTATAAGAATTTGAGGTTTGTGAGAAATGGGTTTTGTAGAGAGAGAAGTAAGAAGGGGAGAGAGAATTTAGAACCAAGACATCTCGATAGGAGCATGCAAAGTCTTGGCTATATAGAATGATCTTCTACAACAAATGCTTCATATTTTCTCTCTTAGCCCAACTTTGATCATCGATAAATCACTCCCTCTATTTTTTGGGGGAATTGCCCATATTGGGTGCCATTTCTTTCGATATCTATGTGAATGTGAAAAAAAAAAAAAGGGGGCTATTTTTCGATGAAACATAAGAAAAACGCAATAAATTGTTGTAATGGTGCATCTTTGAGGTTGGATCTAAATTATTATAATTAGTAGAGCCAAAATGAAAAATAAATTCTTAACGAGCTCATTTTCATTAAAAAATAATTAGCTTCTAAGGTTTTTCTCTTAAAAGCCCGAAATTAAATATAAATGGATGCAGTAATACACTGATAAATGTACAATAGAAAAATATAATTAATTTAATAAATTATTTTAAGGAAAAGGGGCAAAAAAAAAAAATGAGTTGGTAAGACCCCTATCTTTACAACCACAAGTACCATTGAAGATTATAAAAATAAAAAATAATGAGTTAAAAATATCTATTTTACTGCAATAAGTTGCATTTTCAATTTTATTTTGATTACAAAATGAATATAATGGTCAACAAAAACTCAGACATGACGGTGGTTCTCAATATTTATATATTTTTGATAAACTAGTAAAATCCATAATGCAATTACCCAATTTTTTTTGGAAAACCTAAAGAACTCGATTTTTAAAATTTTTTAGAAATGTTTAAAAAAAAATTGAGGCTGAAACCGGCCAATCCGATTGATTCTCCGATCTGGATCGCCAATCCATCGATCCAACTCAGTTTTTGGGATGATAATTTTTTAAAAAAAACCTTGCTACAAATTATACGAACATGAAATTTGATGTGTGTCATCATCTCAATTGGGCACATCTATGAGAAAATATAAAAAATATCCTTAAAACGGTTAGGGATTTTTGGTCATTTTATTTTTTAAAAAATATCTTTTAAATATTTTTTGTAGGTGTGACTCTATGAGAGGATGGAATGCCCAAAATTTGGTATCAATATGATTTTTATAAAAATAAACTAATGCTTAAGCGTGATATTGTGATTACGGCCATTTAAGCCATCTATTTGGATCGGACGGTTGAGAGAGCGGAGGGATGGCATATGTAAATTTCCCATCCCCAGTGGCATAGAGCAAGCTTTCCTTTTTGGTAACGCTGTTACGATTGGGCTTGCTACTATCTTTATGAGGGAATTGGTTTTCAAATTTGCTTCAACTATTGGATTTGGACCGAAATTTTATAAAATAAAAAATAGGAATACTGGTTTAGTAATGTAAAATACATTACAATAACAATTGCCCAAATTTGTTTAATTGGTCCGACCGATCAAAATCGGTTGGTCCAACGAATCAAAATAAGTAAAATATTGGTTTCCAACTAAACCTTATTTTTTCTTTCGACCGGATTGACATGACACCGGTTGGTCCGACGAATCAAAATAAGTCAAATATTGGTTTTTGGGGTTTCCAATTAAACTTTATTTTTTCTTTCAACTAGACTGACATGACACTAGTTTGTTGCAGAGAAAGACGGATGCCACAACACCAGAACACTAGCCCAAGACTCACAAGAAAATAAAAAGAAGAAGAACAATCAAGAAGAGGTGGCAGAAAAACATTCATTAAAGAAAAATATGAGATACACCAAGGCATTACAATCTTGACACCCAAGATTACCTTAACATATGTGCCCTAGGGTATACAAAGGTATTACAATCTTGACACTCAATATTTATTAACTTTCAACATGTTACCCAATTTTTTCGCCACATACTTTTCTTTAAATAGAGGTTTTTACAACCATATTTACTACAACCACCACCTACTTGCAACACTAACTACTAACCTAGTAGTTTTACAACTTCCTACTACACAAACTTACAAGTACAACCGTATTATATCACGATAAAATAATATAAAAACTAATATATTTTATAGAAAATACACTTTAACAATTTTAGCATTCCCTCTTAAAGTGATTTTCTAGAAAGAAGATTATGCATACACGATCATCTCTATCATTTTCCGAAATTAAAAATCTGGCAATTCAGCAAGCTACCAAAGAGATTATCAAATTCCATCAAGTAGGGCTGCATATCCTGCCCTTGAATAGACGTAACATTGGGAATATATTCCTTTTTTAAACCACGAATGATGTGCCGCTTCATTTACTCCATATCAAGAAGAGAAATCTCCGAACAAATATTCTTGATCTTCAAGAAGAATTGGGAAATGAAAAGATCTAACTCATTCTCCAACAATTGCAATCGAGCCACATCTTTCTTATTGAATAACCATTCAAGAGTAATCCAAATATCACAAGCCGATTTGAAGTTCACAATATGAATAAATAGATTATGAGAAATAGATCTCTTCAAGATAGACTCAGCCTTTCCATTTGTTACCCTCCATTTTTTGAATGTATCAGTATTTTTTGGTGTAAGAGCATCCTTATTATTTCCACCTACAACTTCTCATAAGTCTTCACCAACAAGGTAAGTATCCGTACATGACTTCCATATCTTGTAGTTTGATTGGTTGAGCAACTCAATGCTAAAATCATTCATCATTCCACCCGAATTCATCTTAAAAAAAAATTAATCTTCTTCACCAAGGGAGTCAAGACAACATCACCACCACCCTTGTAGCTCTGATACCATGTAGATAAAGATGGATGCCACAACTCCCGAACAATCCACTTTTTAATTAGTGTACAATGTTACACTAGTCCAAGATTCACAAGCAAATAAAAAGAAGAACAAAAAAAAAAAGAGGTGGAAGAAAAATATTCATTAAAGAAAAATATGGGGTACACAAAAACATTACAATCTTGATATACAATATTAACTTTAACATATTTGCCCCAAGGTACACAGGCATTACAAATTTGACACCCAATATTAACCTTCATGTGATCCAATTTTCTCACCACAAGCCTCTCTTTAAATAGAGGTTTTTACAATTATATTTCCTACAATAATTACCCACTTGCAAGAATAATTATTAACCACTTAGTAGTTTTACAACTTCCTACTACACAAACTTACAAGTGCAACCTTACTACATCACTCATGATAAAATAACATAAAAACTAATATACTTTCTAGGAAATGCGCTTTAACAATTTTAACAAGTTCAATCGGTTAGAACAATCATGATTTTAAATACCTTGCTGGTATTAAACCATGCAAGATGGCGTGTTATCTTGACAACGACTGCCATTTTCATGTAAATAATAATTATATTTTCAACAATGAAGAATGGGGATTGTACATACTAGAGAAAATTGAATCCTAATTAATAGAAGGAAAAAGTTTATATAAGGTTGCAATCTTAAAATGTAGAATTAAAGGTGCAGATAACAATAGATTCTCAAGCCATGCTAAGAATTTTGCATACCAAATTTATATTGATGATAAAATTTAGAGGTGCGCCTTAATTGGATTGTTTACGGTTGCGACGTTATGGAAACCTCACCCTTAATATAATCCTAATGAGAAAAGAAAAAAAGTTTGTATAAGGTTGCAACCTTATTTAGAAATAAGGTGCCCCTCAAAAATCCAATAGCAAAGGGTGCTCTAGAGTTAGAAAACCTTCCAATTGAATCAACCTTGAGATATCAACATTATAATTTTAGCCTTTTTCCAATTAATTGGGTTTATAAGGATCTTGGTTTTCTATTCTGCTCTATTAAAAGTCATATCCTCAATGAGGCTATAAATTTCCATATCTTTTTAGACTACTTCCAACCACATCCTTTTGAGTCTACCCCTTATTATTTTATGTCCTTCCACTTGAACTAACTCGTACCTCCTAACAGGTGTTGTACTTGGTCGGCCACACATGGCCAGCCCACCTAAGTCTATTATCTCTCATTCTATTGTCTATTGGTGCCACACTTAAATTCTCTCGAATAGATTCATTTTGAATTTTATCCCTTCTGGTCTTGCCACTCATCCATCTCAACATCTTCATCTCCGCTATACTCATTCTATGAGTATATTTTTTTTGTTTGCCTAACATTCTGCCCATA